CGGATTCTACATCTGCATCGAGCTGTTTGTGGTGACTAAGCCAGGAGAGTGAAGAGTTCACTGTGTGGCACAGCCCAGGTGGTTAATCATTCATTTGGGGTTTGGAACTACGTGACGGCAAGTTTTCTTCAAGGGAAGAAAATAAAATCCCATTTTTCATGATTCTCAAAAAGATTTCAAGTGATGAGCTGTGTCAGATGTCCATAGAGTTGTGGGGCACATTCCCACTGCTCTGTAAACACGTGGTGTAAAATGGCTTGGCAAGGGGCCACCGCTCTGTTGGGAGCCCTCGAGCTCACCTCTGACCCCTATTTTTACTTTTAACTGAAAGGACAAGATAGTGCTTTATCAGCACACGCTGTGATTTTGCAAACAGGGCTCAGAAGCAGAACCGAGAAGCCTCTACGGATGCACTTTAGCCGGTAGTCTTTCTGAACTTGGCTGGGTATATTCTGTTAGACTAGGCTCCTTGAACTTGTGCGCTGGTCGGCACCTTAGGAACTCAGACCTGTTGCTTCACCTAAGCCTCTGTGACGTGGAGTGGAGAGCTTGGCTTCACTTGGCACTGCCGGGTCAGCTTGCTGTGCAAACTGTTGCCGCCCCTAACCGGGCACCTGTTCCTTTGCACAGGTGTTCCTGTGGAGCATGCGGTCCTACACGTTAATCCGGAAGCTAGAGGGCCACCAAAGCAGTGTTGTCTCTTGTGACTTCTCCCCCGACTCCGCCTTGCTTGTCACGGCCTCTTACGACACCAACGTGATCATGTGGGACCCCTATACTGGAGAGAGGCTGAGGTTACTTCAGTAAGGCCGGGGTCCCTGCTTCGGACCGTGTTGCGGGCGGGACTGATGAGAGAGCTGCCTTGGGTTAGGCATGGCCCGCATGGGGGCGGGGGCGGGGCAGGTGGCGGGGCGGGGGGTGCCTGGGTAAGAGGCACGGTGAGTTCAGGCCTTCTGAGGCAGTGGCGTGCAGTGGCACTTCATTGTCACTTACGTTCTCAATTTAGACCCGAGTGCCTTCAAGGCTCCTGATGTAGGAGGCTGTGTGTACTTCTCTGGATTCAGCGTTAATGAAACCTCAAAGTGACTCTTTCTTTCCATTTACTAATAACCAGAGTAGCAAGTTCAGAACGATCCTCTTACCGAAACTGGTATTTCCAAAATGAATTTTCATGTTCTCACAAACTTGGGTCTTTTTCTCTTTGTCTCTGTTGTTTTCTGAGGCAAATAATAGGTAGTCCTATAATTATCATGTATCTTAGCTGAAAAAAGACTTTCAGTTTGTACTGTGGCATTGAAGTGAGGGCTGACCTACTTTGCATAAGGAAATTAGCACAGGGAGTGTGAGTAACCCTTCAGCCCCTTCCGCGAGACACTTAGGAAATGCGCTCCCCCCCCCCCCCCCCCCCCCCCCTATCCCACGGTTTTCGATAGGGGGTAAGGATGGGTCTTTGAGCCCATCATAGCCCCAGCATTGGAATGAAGCTGAAGGGTGGAGGGTGGTCATCATCCCAGGCCGACCGCCCTGTTTCTTTCTCCTCAGCCACACCCAACTTGACCTCCCCATGGACGACAGTGATGTGCACATTAGCTCCCTGAGATCTGTGTGCTTCTCTCCCGAAGGCTTGTACCTTGCCACGGTGGCAGATGACAGGTAATGCAGAGACATCTCGGTGTGTGGCCTCAGAGCAAGTCCCCGCAAGTCACTGTAGCATCCCCCTCTGGGGCTGGCCCCATGTCTGCTAATGTGCGAATGTTTCTTTTCTCTCTCGTCCAGACTCCTCAGGATCTGGGCCCTGGAACTGAAAACTCCAATTGCATTTGCTCCTATGACCAATGGTCTTTGCTGCACATTTTTTCCACATGGTGGAGTTATTGCCACAGGGTACGTGTCTGATAGCTGAACAGATGGGGAGCGGTTTCTGCTGAGTCTTACCACGTAGCTTTTTAAGGAGAGCAAGCATCTAGAATGTTCTTGCCTATGATGAAGCCTTTAAAGGAAATCTAAGAGGACACAAAATTCTAATATTCTATTCTGCCAGTACAGGTTATCATTTACTCTTAATATTTAATCTGAGAGTAATTAAACAGCTCTGATTCATGCCACTTAATGGGCCACGTCCACAAGGAGGCCTAAGTCGGGATGATGCAGAATTTCTGAGAAACCACTTAGGGCAGAAACCACCGTGCAGGGAACATGTATAATTCAGGAGGCGGCACTCTTCCCTCTGCCGCATTGGAACTCACGGTGTGATTCGGAAGGGGCCAAGCTCACGGATAGCACTTTGGTATCAAAAGTGTCTTGAGTTCTTCTGATCCCTTAATTATTCAGCATCATAGCCTTTACATCCATTTCAACCATCAGGGTTGCATTGCACTCCCCGGGTGTCTCCTGCTAACGCAAGTCAAGAGTCAAAACATTAATACCCCTCACCATGAAAATGTGTGTTTCCAAGGTCTCTCCTAAAGCGTCCGTTTCTGTTCCGTTTCAGGACAAGGGATGGCCATGTCCAGTTCTGGACAGCTCCTCGGGTCCTGTCCTCACTGAAGCACTTATGCCGGAAAGCCCTTCGAAGTTTCCTGACCACCTACCAAGTGCTAGCACTGCCAATCCCCAAGAAAATGAAAGAGTTCCTCACATACAGGACTTTTTAAGCTACGCGCCATAGTCTCGTTTGCTTGTAGCAGGAACAGACTTCCTGGCAGAGGAGTAGCTGGGAGCAATGGGCCAAACAGCTGGTCTTGGATTGAAATAGAATTTCTCTTTGAGACAGTGAACAGAGTGTAGCAAAAGCAGATGCCGGCGGACTGGTCATCCAGGTGTTTCTGCGTGACCTGTGGCAGGCAGTCATAGAGGGGCTCACAGCTCCGTGGCGGCAGAGCCTTACCTGAAATCCTCAGCCCACTAAGAAACGGCAACGTCGAACACTTTCTAAAGTCCTTCCAATTCAGAGTGCAGTGACTAATGTTGATTTGATAAGCAGAGTAACCAGGCCTCGAGAGCCTCTCTGCTGGGGCAGGTTATTCCCTCGACCGGCAAGTGGGCAAGTGTTGGCTTGTGCCTAGTACTTGTCTTTGTCATGTTTCAGATGCAGTGGTGACGTTGTTTAAAAAGTTCTCTCCTGCTGTGTCAGAGTGGCTTTGCTGTTGGCAAGTGCTTGCCTTCCACAAGCTCCCCTCTGACCAGCAGGACCGAGTGTTCATGGAGCCATCTGCTGGGAGGTCGGAGCTAGATTACAGGGCACTCAGAGGTGTGCTCCTGACTGATACACTAGAAACGGCTTTTTTTTTTTTTTTTTTTTTTTAATCGGTGTGCATGTGCCGGAGATGACAAATGTGTGTGTCTGGGTACACGGGGATGTATTCCTCAACTGCATGACTGTCCAAACGGCGGCTGACTTGTCAGTGGTTTGCTGTTTGCAGCCTATTTATTTGTATTTTCTCAACAGATGTTAAGGTACAACTGTGTTTTCCTCCCTGGTATCTAAAAACTATAGTTCTTAAGTCGAACAGTTGTGAAGATGTCTCTTCTTCGTTGTTTAGGGAATTGGTGTTGTCTCCGCTTTGGCTGATTGTCATATACAAGGTCTGACTTCGCTGCTTTGCCTCATCGGACGAACCAGCCCAGTTCACCTCTACCCCTTACCAAAACTAGCTCCTTGAAAGTACTGTTCTCCTTCAGTGGCGTGTAGTTCTCTGATCAAGACACCTCATTCCAATGAAATCTGCCTTTGGAAAATTTAATATATTTTAAATTATTTTAAAAGAAATGCAACATCTTATCCTTTGGCTTTCTTACTAGGTGCTTTGTGGAGGCCAGTGTTAACGTGATAAAACTTGTTGCAAAAGTACAAGAGTCTCCTCTACCACCTTTGTTGCTGAAGAAAAACATTTCTTTTCAAGATGAGAGGCTTTCATTGAAGGAAAAGTTAAAAAGCTTTCGGCTCAGTTTCATTTTTTTCCACTAAGAAAAAAAAAATACCACCTTTTAAAACAAGTGAGTAGAGCAGGACAGCGGGGAACGGCTTGGGCCAACTTTATACTTTGTGGTCGTCTTGAGGCATCCCAGCCCAGCCTGAGGGGTTCTGGGTGGCTTCCCCAAGGCCCCGCCTGGCCATTAGCTTCAAACTTTGCTCGGGGTTCTCGGGGAGCGAGGTGTACGGGGATGAGGCAGATAACCAACCTCTCCCTTTTGATAGTCTGAGAAGCTGACAACTTTATAGAGCAGCCTCCGAAGCAAGCTTGTTCTGCGATAATCAGAGAGGGGGAAGGCTTTTTCATGTAAATGCAAGGTAAGTCAGCATCTTTCTAACAGGTGAAGGAAAGAGTAGCTCATAACAGCCAACGTGCAAGCTGCTTTATTTTTACGGAGAAGAACACTCATAAAGGCAGCCTGTTCGCTGTGAAAGAAACGCTACTCTGTCTACAGGGCCCTGTCTTTCCCGCATGTGCCGGTGCCGAGCCCGGCCTGTGCTCGTCTGCCCTGCCTGCGTTAACAAGGGAGTACTACGCGGCCTTGCCCCCGCCGCGGGCGTAAAATGACGCTTCGCTGTCTCACCACAATTAGGAACCTGCTAGTAGGGGAGAAATAAAAAGATGTTTTTAAAGTAAGACAATTAACTGAGCCCATTTATAGGAGTACAGTAGTTTGGGCCAGAAGTCGACGCACACCTATTTTTTTTTCATGGACACCTATTTAAAGCAGATCCAGAGACCATGCCGCAAATTAGGTTTATGCACTTAGTTGTGGAGCTGTTCTGTTACCTTGAGTTAGAAAATACTGGCACCATGGGAGATGGGGAAGATTTGGTTCTAGACCAAAGTGGGGCAGGCCAATTTCCTGCCATCCAAGCAACTGAACGATAAAAGCCTTAAGGCTAAAAGAAAAATCTTCTTGCGCTTTCTTTTCCGCCCTGAGACACAAGTGGGCAGCAGAAAGAGAGCTGGGCATTAAAACTGTTTTGTACCTGCTCCAAACAGCCACAAACACGGTACTTTTTAAGCGTTTGCCCACCCAGGCCTGGAACAGGGTTTTCCAAAGCCTGGGGTGATCAGGGCTTCAGTCCCCAGCTGTAACTCAGTCCCCTGTTGTCCAGTCACCGTGGGGCCTGCGAATCGCAGCAAACAGGCTCAGCATTTAGGCCTCTGTGACAATCAGGTCCCTGGTGACCTGGAAAGCGGCAATGAGGGAACTCAGCTGAATCTTCTCGTTGGTGCCAACAGAGAGTCTGTACCTAAAAGAAGTCAAACAAAAGGTAAGAATAGAGAGTATCATGGGACAGCTGCCTTTTGACGGGACGAGAGAGAGCAAAGGCAGGGACAGTGTGCCGAAGGAGGGAAGCAGGTAATCAAACTCGACCCCGGACGGTAATCTTCAGTGTGTCCCCTGACGTCCTCCTCTCTGCCCTAAACACTCACTTATAAATTCCACTCAAGCTGGTAAGGAAAAACTAAATTAAAAAAATTATCAATGGCAGTGTTCTGAAGTTCGTGCTGTCTAGACGTATGCAGAATTTAAGTGATAAGGATTTATTTCTTCACTCACAAAAGGTACTGAGAGAGGATTTCCTTCCTCTTAATTCACCTGAGAATGGTGGACTGTGGTTCTGTGGTCCAGTTAGTAAAGCAGGACACTGGTGGTTCATCTTGCCACCTTCCCAGTGCCCAGCCAGTGAAAGCAAAATCATGACATGCATCACGTAGGGAGAAGTGACCTCGTGTGTGAGTGTGAAAGCCAGTGAGAGCAAATCAGAGTTGGTCCCGTGTTGGCGTCTGTTTAGAACCCAATGCTTCCGTCCACCTAAATGATAGCTGCCAGCTTCAATGGGGGCTAATAACTGTTTATGGAACCAGGCAAAGTGGAAAATTGAGTTTCTGTTTACTTTGCCCCCCAATATGCTTTGCTACGCCAAAATGCTTTAACAACAGCTGGATAGCTGGTTGTCCCCAAATGACCTAGATGTCGGAACTGAAGCAGGCCTTCCAGATAATGGCACTTCTAGAACCAATGTGGACCATGCCTTTGAGGTCTAAGGAGAGGGCTTTATCTCCCAGTCTGTTACTGAGCCGGTTCTTTAAACAAGCAAATCAGTGATCCCACCAAAAATCAAACTGTGCCATGTAGGAATGAGGTAGACAAGAAAGTTGGAACCAAGCAGGTAGAAAGAAAAAATGCACAACAGGGTAAAAGAAAGGAATCAAAATTGGGAAGTACTCACTCTATGTCTGCCATTTTGGTCAATAAATGCACTCGAACTGAAGATGGAAAGTCAACTGTGGGGAGAAACAAAATCAAATGAATGAGGGTCTGCCCCTCCCTACTACTAAAAAAAAAAAAAAAAATCCCACGACAATTATGAGCTTAAACGTCAGAGGACACTATACTTGTCTGGAGGCCTCAGGTCACTGGCTGCCACACCTCTAAGGAAGTGAACACTGGATGAGTTCAGTTTTTTTTATCCATCTTGTGAGCAGATTCCAAAGCGATCACAAGACCCCGGAAGAGGCACCAACATCGCTTTAGCAACGGGGCAGCTCTAGGAGTGAACTAGAAAGCCAAGTTCCCACAAGCTGTCCCGATTTTTAAAAACAAATCTACTGATCTTTAAATCTCTATTCATGTTCATTTTCCACAAAGGGCAGAGCTGGGCTCAAGCCGACCACGCTTGTGGGCCGCAGTTAACGCCAGTTGGCCCAGGGGAGGGCCCGCAAGGCACAGGCAGAACATTCCCGGACCCGACTGTCTGCAGTCGGCTATTGTAGGGGGACAGCTGCTCCGAGGAGGCTGAGCAGCAGGTCACCCGAAGAGCCTGAGAAAATCCTGATGCCCAGGTCCCCCCAGAGGCCAAGTGAATGGGTTTGGGGTGACGCCTACGTGCTGCCAAGGTTGAGAACCAGGTCTCTGTACAGAAGATACGGCCAAGTGTGGCACTTCAGATGGTTTAGTTAAGACTGCTCTGCTTTACCCCGTGGATAGACGTTCCTCCTCTTTCTCTCCTTTTGGGGGAAAATACCCTTAGAAACGTGGATTAAAACATACTATTTACTCCTGTAAAATAAAAACCCTCGGAGGAGATGCAGTTAGCCCTCCGGAGCTGCTTCCCCAGGAGGTTCAGAGGTCAAGGGTCATTTTGGAACAAAGCTGTAAATAGCAACAAGAGAAAACTAAAACTGCGGGCCCGGTTTATACTTCGCTCGCGTCTCTCTGCTTCGAAAGCGAAGCCTCACGTTCCCTCGCTCCCGCCCTTAAGCGCCCCGCTCCCCTCCTCCCGCAGCTTCTCGTCTAGGGAGGACCGTGAGTTACCCCTGTGCACGAACAAGTGTATCTCTGTCAGCATGTCCTGTAGCGCCAACCCCTTCAGGGTTTTCAACTCCATAATATCTAGAGAGGAACAGTTAAGGCAAAGGGCCAGCTTCTCGGACAAACGCGCTGCACAGAATTTTGAATCCCAACTCCAGTGGGGGTGACTTCTGGAAGGAGGGCTTCTAACCCCACTGTGGCAGTTGCTCTCAATCCAGCTGCGCCACGTGGGCCCCGATTCTTGCCTTTCCTAGGTTTGCATCTTCCACAAGGGCTTTCCGATAGAACTGTCTCTGCCTAGTAGAGGGCAGAGCTGAAGGCGTCCCCCAGAAGGCCTCCTGTCACCGCCCCTGGCTTTGAACTTCACAGCAAAACACGAGTAACGTTGGCCACTCGAGAATGATCACAGCGGCCGCCCCCAACCCCAAGGTCTAACTGCTGCTCTCATCCGCGAGCAAGGCGGCCTCAAGCTGTACCCACGTCAGAGTCCTTCAGGAAGAACTTTAGGGCATTAAAGACGAGGACCCGCTCCACCCAGAGACCCCGTGTTTCCACAGCAAGCGGCCCAGACCCACGAGCAGCCAACCGTCTTTGGCCAGCAGGGTGTAGACGCCGGCGGCAGCCTGGACTGCTGGGACAAGCTCGGGCCTCACGTACGTCCCGCACTGTCAGCAGCCCCCGAAGAAGGATACTTCTGTAGGCTGTGGTGAAGTCTTGATTCAACATCCAGTCCAGAATGTTGGCAATGTCGGACTTGAGGGGGTGCCCGGTGCAGGTGTAGACCGTCTCCTCCGTCACCTTCCCGAAGGCCATATTGGTGCTCTGCGCAGGAGGGGGAGAGTGGTGGCTGTCACAGCGGCCACCACGCTGCAGGCGGGTGAGGAGGAAGCGGAGGCAGCTCTGCGGCTGTTCCGGCTCCAGAACCCTTCCCTAGCTTTCCCTGGTCTGCAGCACGTTACTCTCCCAGTTCCTCAAAACCCCGAGGTGGGGGGGAAGTCGTCGGTACACGGGGAGATCGAGATCTTACCAGTTTCTCAATTTCTGAACTTAATAGGTTGGCTGTGCGCTGCTTCTGTCTTTCCTGAAAACCTCTTCCGAAGCAGCGGCTCAAGACCTGCTGCAGTGGCACCGTACCTGCAGAATGTTCAGAGCCCTTCGCATGTCTCCGCTGGAAAGGGTCACGAGGGCTTTCATCCCGTCCTCACTTAGGTCCACTCTGAAAGGAAAGAGACAGAAGGAGGTCAGAGGCCCCGAGAGGGCACGAGTGTTCACCCCGGGGACGACTAAGGCTTTGAAATAACGAAAGGGAAGGACGGAGTTAACAGTACTCTCCCGATCTGTGGTGGGCTCTCGAATTCCCTCTGGTCTCTGGGGCCGTGGGCTTCACGTTAGCAGTCACCGCTCACTCCCAAGTCGGGAAAGAGGCCCACGCATCGCTGTGTTGAGCAGCGGGCTTTGGATTCTGTTCTCCAAGAGGCAAGTGCGTGGCGAGACCTGAGGTCACGGAGGCAGACCAGCCCCTTTCACAAAGCAGCGACTTGGGCTGGCTACGGGCCTGGCAACTGACGGTACAGAAGGTAATGCCTCAGTACCTTCCCTTCTAGTCCTGAAAGGCTGGAGGCATCTTGGCAGAAGAGACTCTGGCAGCACGCCATTGCCAATGACCAAAGAAGAGGAGGAGGAAGTCAGGACGGCTTCCGGGGGAGGAGGGTGGAATCGAGAGAGGAACCAAGTGCCTTTTACGAAGGCTGTCCATGAGACGCCAGGGAGGACAGCAGCTCGCAGACCCCGACGCTGACTTGGCCAGGCACCCGCCTGAGCTCTTTACACGCCTTATCACCTTCGACTGCAGACCCGCCAGCCGGCCCCGGGCCCTGCCCACACCCCCCGGCCCCCAGGGCCCTGGGCTTTCCTGCTTTCCCTTGTACTTACTTCTCTTCTTCTGTGACGCGTTCCAGGCGGGGGACCATGAGTTCGGGAGTCAGGGGGCCGAATCGGAACCTTGTACACCGGGACTGCAGGGCAGGAATGATCTTTGACAGGTAGTTACAGATGAGGCAGAATCTGGTATTTTCAGTGAATTTCTCAATCACTGGCAAGGGGAAAAGAAAACCAGCTCCCGTCCGTTCTGAGCCTTCCAGAGCCCTGGAGGCCCCACACTCTTCCGAGCTCTCGTGCACGAGCCGAAGCCATCCACAGGTTGGAGCGCTCCGGGAGCGAGGGGCTGCGGCCGGGGTGGCCGGGACCGGAAGCCAGCCGCGCTCCTCCCCAAAGCTGATGGACACGCCACCTCGAGGGGATTTTATAAAATGCTTCCCTTCCTTCTGATGTGCCATGATTCTGGCGTTCTTGCCACATTCCTGTCCTTCTGCATAAAACTCCCACTTGGCAGGTTGATGATGCCCCACCTTCTAATGGCGGGGGAGGGGGACGGCTTGTTGCGGACTTCCCAGTGGACTCTGTCTCGAGGCCTTAGAGCATTCCACAGAGTGCTAACTCGAATTCAGAAAGCTTAGGAAACACCAGGTGCATTCTGTAGTTACCCAATGTTCTGGCAGGGGGGACCTGCCCACACTGACAGTCACTGTGCAGAGCAAATGCTGAAGAAAGGCTGCCAAAGCTTTTAAGATCAGAAGACACCCTTAACTGCCCTCCTCCTCCTCTTAAACCCACTGCTTCTCCCCAGACTCTACAAGGCCGCTCCTCTCTCCTAGCTGATTACTGCAGGATCTTAACGCGAGAGATTACCAGTGTCCCTTCAGGGAAATCCACTGCACCAGGGCCCTTAAGATAGACAACTCACACGATGCTCTCCTTCCCTGCCAGGTCAGCCCCTTGGCAAATAGAGGAGTCATGTCAGCTTTCTGAGTGCGACTACGTTTCCAGTATTATTTTCCCGGGTACTGTCTATCTCAGGTACCGAGAGCAGAAAAGTCTACCCAGCAGTTTAGGGAAGACAGACTTTCCATACCTCCCCGCCTTTCTTTTTTTCTTTTTTTTTTTTTAAAGATTTTATTTATTTATTTGAAAGAGAGAGAGAATGAGAGATAGCACGAGAGGGAAGAGGGGTCAGAGGGAGAAGCAGACTCCCTGCCGAGCAGGGAGCCTGATGTGGGACTCGATCCCGGGACTCCAGGATCATGACCTGAGCCGAAGGCAGTCGCTTAACCGACTGAGCCACCCAGGCGCCCCTTCCCCGCCTTTCTAAGAATCCAAATTCCCAAGCCCAAATCGAACCCCGTGGGAGAGGAGGATGGGACACCAGGGTCTGGTCAGAATTAAAAGTCCCACCAGGGCTCTATCTTTAAGCTGCTGAAAGGGGAGACCCCCAGTACAGACAACTTCGGTCTAGATCGTCAGGTTGGCTACACACAGAGAAAGGTCAGCACGTTTCTCTGGGCCGGAAGATGAAAATGGTCAACAAGCCAAGATGTGTCTCATGTCCAAAGCTCCTACTTCCCTTTCGAAGGCACTCCTGAGCCAACACATTATCCCTGGGGGCTCTTCTTACCTCTCCGCAAAGCGTTCTGGGCGTCTTGGGTCATGGCGTCAGCTTCATCCAGGATCACCAGCTTGAAGCCTTTCCTAGGAAAACAAATGGTACCATCTGAAGATTTCTTCAATCTCGCCCCCACTTCCAGGCCCAAACCTACACGTACAATTGTGCCACCAGGCCCTGCCTCAGAGAGTCCATTCCTCCTTGACCTCTGTGCGAAGCAGACATCTGTGGTCACACAGAGGACATGCCCGTCACTCTCCACTCTGAAAGGAACTGAGGTCTGACTTGGGTATTTTTGTTGCACTGTTTCCTCTGGCACGTCTGCCTTTCTTCGGCGCACACTCGGTGTCATGTTACTCGGGGCGTGGCGTTGCTTTCTTCCGCCACCTTCGCCCTCCACTCATGCCTGTCTTAACGTCCTCTCCTCTGTCTACCACCATCCCCCTTGTCCGCCCCGATCTCAATTCCTTTTTGTTTAAATTCAAACTAGCTCATCAGGTCTTAGGATGTCCTCGGTCTTCGGGTAACTAATGAAATGAAGTTAATGCTTCCCAAAGAACTTGCTAATATATAGACTTAGTGTTTTATTTTGATATTTACATTATCTCGTACTAGCGTCCTTGGACTTTACCTCTTTTTGGTGGCTACTTTTGACAACGTCATTTTTTACCTTTAAAGACTAGCAAAGGGGAGGATTAAGAAAATTAAGCTCTGTCATTTCACCGATCAGAATCTCTAGGGAGAGAAATCATGCCAATAATTCTTACTTAAATATTGTCCTTGTGCTAGCAAAGCTCAGGATTGGTCCCCGAACGATATCTATTCCTCGGTCGTCTGAAGCATTCAGCTAAGTGTGGAAGAGAGAAGCCAGAGTAAATTAGAAATATGTTGGTGATTTCCATCAATCCAGCTTGGCAAGCTAGGTCTCTAGGTCTAATGACACCTAAGAGATAAACACTATTAAAAAGCCAAGATCACAACTGTATTTAAAACCCACAACTCGCTACACCATTCCATTCCATTCTGAAAGGCAAATGACTGTGTTTCCTCCCCCTTTCGAGGACAACTGCTTACATACTCTGGCAGAATAGTTAATTGGCCTGGCCACAGTGAACAGCACCTCTGGCATGAACAGAATCATGCTAATTTTAGCTACTGCAACCCAGAGCAACCGAGAAGTTACACAGTCTTTAATACACTGAAGTAAGAACATTGGTGGCAGCAAGGTTCTAAGATCTATAACAAAAAAAGAAGCTACATTTTTTTTCTTGCAGTAGACAATATTTAAAATTTTGTAATCTAAGGGTATCAGTCAAATCTCAGAGCAAACAGATGGCACACTCAAATTCAGTGATTTGAAGAGAATTACATGAAGAGACATCTTAAACGGTGGGGTGTGGGGAAACCACAAGAGCTATGCAATACCTCTGCAACTGCTGGGGCCCATTACCAACCCCAAGTCTTAAGAGGTGACTTAGGGGGGGTGGTGTTGGCACCTGGAGAAGGCTGTGGGGTTTGCCCTGCAGGTGGGGATGCTGTCAGCCTGTGGTGACCCCCAAGACAGAACCAGGCATCATTCTCCTTCCCCCGACTCCTGCCAGGGCCCCTACTGGCCAAACCTAACCAGGGGGAGCCAAAGCACAAGGCAGTCTGTAGTCAATCCAGCTCAGCCTTCCAGGGCAAGAACGGGGGGAGCCACATGGAGAAGAAATCTGGAGAGGCACACGGGAGACAGCAAGCCACCGAGTGACCACTCACTGAGTGACCCGTGAATGTTGGCGTGTAAGTTGGCAAAGGCAAAGAAAAATATCTAGCCCGACCACTGCCCTCTAGCTAATGCCAATCCAGACCCAAATGTCAATTCTAGATAAAAGCCACTTGAAATATTTTATGTCTGTTCCTTTCCCCACCTCTAGCACAGCAACTTACTTGTAAAGTAAGACAAATCTAAGAGAACTAAGAGACTCGAGTTCTTTGCAGAGTAAGAAGAATCCTCTTATTTACCTCCAAGACCATGGAGCCAAATTCCTTATCTTTGTATAGCTGTTTCGCACAGGCTAGGATGGTGGAGGTCTTTCCCGTCCCCGGGGGACCATAGAGAAGCAGGTGGGGCAGGCGGTCTTCACTAATAAATTTCTGAACTGAGGGTTGGGAAGAAAGAGAGACCCCATCAGTTTCCGAGGGTTGCCTCATTCACCGTGGGCCCTTGAGTTGGCTTGAATGCACTTCAACACTACGTTCAAATCAGAGGTAGATGCAGGAATGAAAAATCTGAAGGACTCAGCTCTTACGGCAACATTCCATAAAGCTCAGTCAGATACTTCAAGGTTATTACTCGGCAGAAACATCACCAAGAAATTATACAGGTCCTCCAACTAGAATGACAGCAACTGACACATGGATGCTTACTGGTACTCAAAATGTCCTGATGAGAAATCAGATCATTCAGTGTCTGTGGCCGGTATTTTTCAACCCTGAAATACAATTTAGCACGGATTACAATATATACAAATGCAAGAACATGCTGTCATGTGCAAAAGAATCCTTTCATATCCTAATGAAAAGAGGAAGAGAAATAAAATCCTTTAACTTTTAATACAGACCACTGGTTCTCAACCAGGGGCAATTTTGTCCTTCAGGAAACACTCAGTGATACCTGGAGACATTTTCAGTTGTCACAATTGGGTGGAGGGTACTACAGGCCTCCAGTGGATAGGAACCAGGGCCGTCACTAAACATCCTACGATGCGCAGGACAGCCACCATGCCCGCCCCCACCAAGTATCTAGGCCAAAATGCCAATAGCACTGCTCTAATTTCACCTTTCCAGCTGTCTGCCTATAAATAATCTCAACCTGGATGGGCACCTACTATTTGAAAGTAAATTAAAAACTGAACTCTTTGGGGCACCTGGGTGGCTCAGTCGGTTAAACACCTGCCTTTGGCTCAGTTCCTGATCTCAGGGTACTGGGATTTCGCCCTGCGTTGGGCTCCCTGCTCAGCGGGGAGTCTGCTTCTCTCCCTCTGCACACCGCCCCCCTCATGCTTGCTCTTTCTCAAATAAAAAATCTTTAAAAAAAAATTGAACTTGTACCCAAATATACATCAGAAGATGAATGGATAAATAAATGGTGGTCTATCCATATAATGGGATATTATTCACCCATAAAAAGGAATGAAGCACCCACACCTGCTACAACATGGATGAACCCTGAAAACATGATCCTATGAAAGCCCCCAGTCACAAAAGGCCACATACTGATTCTATTTATATGAATATCCACAATAGGCAAATTCAGAGGAAGGGGAGGTGGGGATGAGGAGTAATTGCCAATGGGTATGGAGTTTCCATTTGGGGTAAAAAGAAAAAAATGTGAACTAGACAGTGACGTGGTAGCACAACACTCTCAATGTACTTAAAGTCACGGAATTACACACTTTACAGTGTTTACAATTGTAAACTGCATGTTATGTGTTTTTTCCACGATAAAAACAAACTGAACTCCTTATTAGCCAAGACCAACTTGGACCTTTCTGAAGAAATCAAGCCGAATCCCTTCAGTTCCTAAAACATCATTCAGATGCAGCCGTGGAAGTAGGGTGGTTATGAGTGCAAGCTCTGAATTCACCTGGGTTCAAATCCCAACCTATTTCCTAGCTCCGGACCTTAGGCAAGTCCTTTAACTCTCTGGTTTTACAACTGGAATAATAACTACCCAGGCTCTTTGTAAAGATGAAACATCTAGCAGGGTCCTTGCTAATCTAGTAGGAAGCCACTTAAATACAACTTAACTGGGGAGCGTTATTATCATCATTATTATTTCAGTTTAGAATTTGAGCCATAATTGCACTGAAGATTCCGGCAAGAGTAGAGAGCATTTTGGCACGAAAGCCGATGCGAAGTCAGAAGACGCGGGATCTAACCCCTGGGCTGTCACCCGGTGCGTAAAACGAATGGCGGCGGTGGGAGGAGGGCAGCGGGAAGGCCTGGCAAAAGTCCTAGAAGAACGGAGGGGACTGGGGAGCTGGGGATGTCAAGGCGAAATTCTGGGGCTCGGTCCGGGCCGCAGGTCGGGGGCGGTGGGGCGAGGTGCGGCGGGCTGCGGCCCGGGCCGCTGGCCCACCCCGGCCACCAATCCCCTTTCCTGCGGCAGCCGGGCCTCCTCCTACCAGGGCAGGTTTCTGATCTTGGCCGCCGCGGGCTGCTGCTGCTCCTGCTGCGCTGAGGTCTCCATGGCGGGGTGATAAAGGTGTGCGGGTCCGCTGGGGTCGTCGCGGCCCCCGGGCACCTGCACAGCCACTAGCCGCGCGCCGACCCCGGGACCCTGGCACTTAGAGTTCGCGCGCAAAAGCAACTCTCGCGAGATGTAACCTCCTGCTTCCGACTTCCTCCCTAGGTCCCGCCCCCTCTCCGTTGCCAAGGCGCCGGTTACCAGGTTACCGGGAGCAGCCGGCCGCCCACCACCCTCCCGGTCCGCCCTTCCAGCCCCGCGCGGCCCTTCCGCCGGGGCGGCGGGGCTTCCTAAGCCCGGGGACGGGGCGGGGGGTGGGGGGGGGGAGCAAGAGAGGCCAGGTCACTCCCTGCAACCGCCAGTCATCATTACAAACTAAAGTGTCGCGGCCAAAGCCACTTTCAGCTACCACCAAAGTTCAAACACTTACCGTTCAAAGGAACAGAGAGCCTCCAGCGCTGAAAACCCCCCGAGGAAAAAACAGCCCCAAATGACAGGGCCAGTTCTTGAATATAGATGCCCTAGGAAAAAAGCCTCGAAATAAGCTGGGAGGTGAGTACTTCGAATTGATAAACAACTCCAAACACACACAACTCCAATCTACCTCCCAAGCCATGCCCCTCACCCAACAAAATCTAAAGAACCACGCTCCAGAAACAACCCCAGAGTGAAAACAAAAAATAAACTCCCAGTTAAGGTTAATATGTGTAACTGGAAAGAGCTGGTCCCTAAGCACAGAGGACAGGGTCCCTATGACCTGAAGGCAGGAGAACCAGTATGGAAATTTTAGTGCTTTTTTCTGCGATGAGGTGATTATGGACCACTTTTATTTTCTCCTATTTCGCTGGTCTGTATTTCCCAGCAATGAGTATGTATATTACATATTACAGATTACATACTTTATCCATAATAAAGCTTTTTTTATTTTTATTTTTTAACGTGTTGAGAAAGACAATAGGGAGAAGAGAGGAGGCTGGGCTGGGGTCAGAAGTGTTCTGATTCAGAAACACCTGCTCCTTGCACCTTATTACAGCACCGGCACCTGCTCTAGGAACAGAGTAGAGGGACAGTGGGGCAAATACATGATGGCGGTTATGCCTCACGCTAGCCCCTGCCTGGAGAGTCAGAAGAAGGGGGGAGGGTCAGATGTGGCTTGTGGTATGACAGTGGCCAACTCTTAACTCTGCTTGTGCAGATCCTTAGTCTGCCACTTTGCCACTTAGCTTTGGGCATCTGGCTTCTCTCCTTGTCCAATAATCTCTACTCCAAAGGTGCCTGCCAGGATCAAATCACACATGTAAAGCAGCAGGCACATTGCCGCCTTACTCTCTCCTTCCCTTCTAGGACACTCTCCACCCACCCTGTTCTTGTTTCAAATGTTTCCTCTCAAGCAAGACCTACTCAAGAATTGGCTGGTGTGACTATGCCCGCGAGGGTTGATTTCATGTGTCATCGTAACTGGACTCTGGACGCCCAGAGAGCTGGTAACATATTATTTTGGGGCTGTGTCTCTGAGGGTGTTTCTGAAAGAGACTGGCGTTTACTCAGATTGGACTGAGTAAAGATCGCCTCACCAGTGCGGGTGGGCATCATCCCTCATCCCTCATCACCGAGGGCCTGAATAGAATGGAAAGGCAGAGGAAGGGTGAATTTGCTCTCTTTTTGAACTGGGATATACAACTCCTCTTGCCCTCGGATACCAGCGCTCTTGATTCTCGGGCCTTTGGATTCACACTGAATTACACCACTGGCTCTCCTGGGTCTCCAGCTTGCAGACAGTACATCGTGGGACTCCTTGGCCTCTATCATCATGTGAGCCAATTCCTAGGATATATAAAGTATAAATATGAATATAAAAATATAAAACATATTTAAAATACAAAATATATTAATTATACATAAATGTTATTGATATATAAAACATAAATAATATATATCAATATACATATACAATGTAAAATTTTTTTTAAAGATTTTTTATTTATTTATTTGACAGAGAGAGACACAGCGAGAGAGGGAACACAAGCAGGAGAAGTGGGGGAGGGAGAAGCAGGCTTCCCACGGAGCAGGGAGCCCGATGCGGGGCTTGATCCCAGGATCCCGGGATCCTGACCTGAGCCAAAGGCAGATGCTTAATGACTGAGCCACCCAGGCGCCCCTGTAAAATGTATTTTAGGTCTACATAATAAAAATATAAATGACATATATATAGCCATTTTGCTAAGGGGCCTTTGCACTAGAAACATGATGCCACCACCTCCTTGAGCTGGAAGATGTGAACGAGACTGGACCAAGTTCTCATAAAACTCTGTGTGCACCTGCTGTTCAGTTTGCTTGGAATGCAGAATTCTTCTGTGTGACATTATATTATATATTTACAAGGTCATGTGTTGTGTGCCTCCCCAGGGGATTGTAAGCTCATTGGGAGGCAAGGCTTTGATTTATTCACCAATAGATTCCTGGTGCCTGGAACAGTGCATGGCTCAAAGGAAGCACTCAATTAATAATTGTTCCATGAATGAATGAATGAATGAATGACAATAGTTAATACCCTTTAGGCAGTTACTATGGGTCAGAAACTGTCCTAAGTGCTTTGCTTTACATTTATTATACTCACTGTATAATTTGTTGCGATAAGTCTGAGCCACTATCATTAGCCCCATTTCATAGACTTGTTAAGTAACTGCCCAAAAGTTTAGTAGGTTTTGTGACTTGGTGTAAGGGGCACAACTGGATCTAACCGGGACAATGTGATTCTATAGCCCAAACTCTTAGCTGCTCAGCTAGTGTGGTCCCTGGACTAGCAGCAGGAGCATCCCTTGGGAACTTGTTAGAAATGTTAATTATTCTTCTCCCCACCCCAAAACCACTGAACCTGAAACTCTGCGGGTGGGCGCAGCCATCTGTGCTGTAAGAGGCCCTCCAGGGGATTCTGATGCACTCAAGTTTGAGAACCACTGCCCTACACCCCTCCTGCTCCTCAGTCCTTGAGCTCGCCATGACTGCACTTTCTAAGAAAGAGAATGGGTACTCACTTGCATACTCTGGAAAAACAGAGGTGTCCCTATAATATGTGTGTGTGTGTGTGCATGTGTGGTTTTGTGTGTTTGTTTTTGTTATTAATTGAATTAATTGAAGGTACAGTCCTTTGGGCAAGTTACTTACGGTGTCTTTGGACCTCAGTATTGGCATTTGTGAAATGGGCAGGGGTAGGGGGCTGGACTAGAGAGAGGGATGACATTAAGAGCACCTGAGGATTTTACAGAATTCCAACACGTGAAGCCCAGCCAGACCAATTAAATTTGGCCTCTGGGAGTGGGACGAAGCACTAGCAGTTTTTAAAAAGCTTCCCAGGTGATAATAGTCAGCGAGAATCGTACTAGGGCCTATTGTGAGCCAATCACAGCAATCCTAGCCCCCTGATCGGCTTAAAGGTGAGCATGTGATCCAGTTCTGCCCAATGAGATGTAAGGGGAAAAGGGAAGAGGCGCCTCTGGGAAAGTTTTCTCCTTTTGAACATCGTGGATCCTTGCACGGGTGATCTTTAGCCTCTCTCCCAGAGGAAAAATTCTGTCACCTTGAAGAGAAAGAGATAAAGACCCAAATTACAAGCCCACACGTCTCTAGGCAGCTTGGGAGTTAGTACATAAACGAGAGGGCTGGGTGGAAACTATGCCCTGCCGCTAGGGGGCGGAGTTTGCAGGTGGAAGATTTAAGCAGAGAAGGAATGCAGTAGCGAAATATTGGCTGGCCCGGCATCAGTAGGAAGGCTGGAGACCCCGGCTTGGAAAATGGAACAAAGACAGGCCAAGGAACTGAAACCATGGTCAAAATTACGCCACGGAAGGAAACCAGTAAGGAAAGTGCAGCTGCCTCCGACCTTCAGGGGCCACTGCCCCAGCTGCCCCCCTGGGCAATGGATGTCACTTTCCCAAACATTTCCACCGTCAGAAAGATTTCACCACTTCTGTCCTGCAGTGGATGCTAACTGAAACTAGCGCCCCATTAAAAGTCTGGGGAGACATGCCTAATTGTCCAGGCGGGGGTTGCATGTTGGCCAGTCCCTGGTATATAGTTTGAATGGCGGGAAATGACTTCTGCCTCCCACCACTTGTGAACTGAGGACATCCTTGAATATAGATAGGAGAGGGGTTCAGATGCTGGCCACCAAAGGATCACAAATGTTCACTTGCCAGTATTCAGCCATGACGGACAGCAGCCAAAAGTTGCCAGAACGTATGATTTTTTTAAGGGAAATCAGAAATTTAGATTTTTATGTGAAATTACGGTACGTTAAACATTGGCAACTAATTAAAAAAAAAAACTTGCTCGTCAAGCACAAATGGGTCATTTTGTGACTTTTTCTCTCTCAAGTACAAATGATCAGGCAAAAGATACAGTCATTTCTTCTTACCCTCTGCCTAGATTGTAGACATTCTGGAGGAATAAGGGTAAATCAAGCTGGTATCTCCATGTGAATTGTGACATTGATGAGCATAGGCACAAACTTCTCTTATGTAATCAGAACCAGATTTGGAAATGCTTTAATAAAACAGTAGGTCCTAGAGATGGCAGGATCAGAAGTTACAAACAAAATTACCAAGGAAAGGCATTTGCTCTCAAAATTGAATAGGGAAAGGAAGCCCTGGATTTTATTACTGTTAGCTTTGGAACAAACTTGGCTTTGGACACAGCACTTACTGCCTTAGTTTATTTTTAAGATTTGTTCTTATGAGAGAATGGGATGCGAGGCTATCTTTGGAAGATGCTGGCAGAAGAAAATCAAACTGGGTCTTTCTCCTGAGCATGTTTATACTGGTGAAATCATGTTTAAATGAAGAGCAAGGACTTGAAGGAGGAAAAAATCTCAAAGGGCAATTTGAAGAGTTTGTGTAGAGGAAGGGCCATCTTCTTTGGTGACCACAGCAAAATCATTGATAAGAAATGTAAATCCTCAGATCTTTTGGGGCCCTTGCCCCCTTCAATGACTTTCTCTTGTCGGA